CCGTTTGCCCAGCTTAACTGTTATGTGTGACTGAGCAAGTTGAGTGGCCACCCTCAGTGTGTGAGGTCTAGAGATGAACCGATCAGGGACAGACTACAGACAGTCCTTGCAAAGGCAACCACCACTACCAGCACCCGGTTTGGCTGCCCCAAGCTGTAAGTCTGAGGCACAGAACTGGGACCCACTTTTTAACACAAGCCTTAGGAGTGAATGTCCACAGGAAACGCCTGTTGTGCTGTCAGCTTTCCCACAGTGGAGCCACAAATGGGCAGGGGGCCGGGAAGGAACCAGGTGGGGCTTGGTTGATGTTGCACAGATGAAAGGGGAAAGAGGGAACACACATCTGCTAGAAGAGTGAACAGAAATAATTTATCTAAATAGAGTAACAAATAAAAACCTTTCAAAACAATCACAAAATTTACAAATAAATTGGTACAAAATAAATAGGAGAGGTGGTAGATCTACAACATTTGAATGATAAAATGCATTCATTATGACAGTCAGCTCTTGGAACCTACACGTGCCATTTGTGCTTGTTTAGGTCTATGTACGCAGCTCTGAATACTGTTCGGGAAACTTCACCACCAAAAACATGAAGTGGACACTGTGAAACAAGGAGTAAAGGCTGGGGAGGAAGACATTGGTCACGGCAGAATTCTCTAGCAGGCCAAGGCAATGTTGGCACTGGGCCTCAAAACCAAGAAAAGGCATATCAAGGGGCCACATGGGCAGGCAGTTTCCATGGTCCAGAGAGATGGATTCTGAAATCCAAGGTAGGAAGTAGAGGCCATCACTGTTGGGTTAGGCAACTGCCCTGGCATGGGAGGTGAGTGAGGAAAGAGGCTCTGGTCTCAGTCATACTGTACCACAACAGTCACCAAGAAAGTACCTCAAGCATTCCATGGAGGTCGTGCCACAAGGTAGGAGACCTGCCTCCATCCTCATCTCAAAGTCATCAGGAATAGAGGTGGACCCAGTAAAAGGGGCTGGAATGCTAGGACCACCATAAGAGCAGCAACCTGCAAAAACAAAACAAAAACACTGCCCTCTCACCCAACTTAGGGGACAACACAGAACCCTAGGTTCCATGGATGAGAGACTAGAAAATGATTTTCGTCCCAGTCACAGACGGTGTACTAACAGTAGAGGCATATATATACATAATAAATAATATAAAATAAAGCATATACATTTGTGGAGTTAAAGGACTCCAGATAAGAAAAGTCAACAGACTGGTGCACTCCACCTTCACAGTAGACTTCAGACATGGAGATAATGAATCAAAAGCTAGTTTGGGGAATCCAAGTCCGTCGGTCCTTACTTGCCCCTACTGACCGCTGTCCTGGGAGCCTGAAACACCAGCTGTTCATACTCAAGAGGCCTGAGCCACCAACGAACAGGGCAGGCACCCATGCCCACCAGCACCTTGATAGTTCCATCTGGGGTGAATCTGGGGAGGAACTGGTCCCCGAATCACTTCCTAATTGCATCCTTGTCGATCAGATGTGGGGAAATGCCAGAGGGGATCTTCCAAGCGAGGTGAGACAATACTCCTAGTTATTCTTCCAATTTGTTCATGGTCCCAGTGGTGCTAGAACACTATTCACTCAGGTGTTCATTATGGTGTATGTGGGGCTGTCCCACATCTGGTATGGTACATGTGTGCGTACAGACCTCTGTGTACAAACCCTAGAGCTTTTCTGTCTTGCCACTAGAAACTTTGTTCATGCTGGTTCAAGTACAACCTGGTATTTCTCATCAAAAGACATTTAGGCCAGTCCTAGTGAGATGACGTCAGTGGCTCTGGCATAAAAGAGAAAGCTTACTTGAGTGGAGCCAGTCACAGAGGTCTTAAAAATAAAAAGGGTCCCCAGCCCAGGATGGGGGGAGCAAAGCTGTACCAGGCTGTGCAGTTGCTGTGAACTGCCATCTCCTCCCCCCTGGTCCTTAGGTCTGACTGTGGAATATGAGTAAGGAGGCAGAAGGAAAGCCAGCCAGCCAGCATTCATTGCGGGTACAAAGCCTGCATGTGCAAGAGGAAGGTCCACTCATCAGAGCCCTGAGGATCAGTAACGGAAAGATGAAAGCCCCTCAGGTCAGCAAGCTTGGCAGAGGTGTGCCCCCCGCCCCTCAAAGAGGAAGATGAACCTCAACCCAGAATTCTCTGAACTCAGCTCTATCAGCTCACTTGAACACAAAAGAAACAAAAAGGTAAAGACTTGTAAAGGGCCCTGAGGTATAAAATTCCACTGAGTAGGTTGCACAATGGTAAGTTCCATCGGAAAATTTCTGATTAACTCTCTAAACCCTAGTCCTGGGTTAGCCTGCAGCTCCCCCAGATACCCTTGCTGGAGAGAGAAGCACCACTAACCCAGAGCCCAGAGTGGGACCAAACCCTGGCCAGGATGAGAGCCTGTTTCCTTAGCAAGAAGGGAGCCTTGGAGCCTCATCAGCCTCACATACCCCAGCTGCTCAACTCCCTGCAAGAAAAGCCTGTGTCCTGGACCACAGCTGAGAGAGGAGTTGTTCCTGCTACCCACGCCACCATCATCACATGGCTTGGGTCACGCAACACAGTGCTCAAACCCCAGTCCGCTGCCCTTCTCTTGCCTGGGGCTCCAGGAAGCAAGGTGAGCACCTTACTGTGCTGGCCCAGGGGAGTCCCTTGCCTGGAATCACCCCCCGGGAATCACTGCAGTTATCTTGGTCCCCCAAGAGGTCTCTCCTCCTGGGGCTAGGAAAGGTGAAGACAGCCACACATCCCTAGCTGGTCTTCAGAAGGTTGTGTTTTTGCTGTTACCAGTCAGGACACAGGTTCAGCCGGCCAGGGGCCTGCCTACCTGTGTGCTCCTCCACCTGAGGAGGGATGAGAAGGTGCAAGTTCATGGTCCCTGCTTAGCTCAAATTCCTGTGGCCTCATTTCCTAGGGAAATGCCATCGTGCTTGCACCTGCCGCTGTCTTCTGAGCCTCGGGAAGCTGGCCGTGTAGTTGTATGGGACTGCACCTAACAGCACAGGAAGTCATTCACAGGCAATGTTCCCTACGAGTGTGAAACTCTGTGCTCGCCATTTACACAAAAGTTCCTTGAAAGAACATTAGGAAATGGCGAGAAGCCCTATGGCCTCCCACGTGGGGAAGCCAAGCAGGCCTGCCCACCGTGGCACGCTCTGCAGGAAGGGCAGCAAGAAGAGCATGGGCAGACATGCCCTCCTTTCCAGTCCAAACCAGGGGAGCCCCAAGGTTGAAAGCACCTGATTAGCACCCCAATATTCACGTACCAATCCTAAGGTTCTGCGTTCCCCACAGTTGGCATACATGAGTTTGGACTTGCCTGATGAATCTGGAACAGAGGGAAAACGGACAAAGCCCCCTTGTGTACAGGGGAGGCGGTGTGCTGGGCACCTCTGGAGACTAGGAACCCAGCTCCCGGTGGAGCCGAGAGGCCCTCGCCTGACCACGGGGCCACTGTAGAGGGCAGCAAGGGCTCTACCGGGGCCCAGGGCTCTGGGGCCAGCCACTCCCTTCGTGCTTAAAAAGACAGCGGCCCTACGAGAAGGGCAGCGGCCCTACGAGAAGGGCAGCGTCCACCGAGCTGTCAACCACCCCACGGCCTTTCTCGGCCCGACTCCCGCCTTTGCAGACATGAGCTGCATGGAGCCCCAGAAGCCCAAGTCGCTGCCCCAGAGAAGCAATGGCCCAGCGATTCTCCTTCAAGAGAAGTCAGTGTGCAGAGGGGATGGAAGGCTGCAAAGAGGAACCTGGTCTCTCTGACACAAGTTGTTTGAGGAGTCTCAAGCTCGCCTCAAATCGGAACCACAGCCAAACGCAAGCCTTTGTTGCTCCAGAGACCAAATTGTTTTGGATTCCCTGTTGCGACAGAAGAGTGTGACTAAGCAGAGGCATAGAGCAGCTTACAGAAAGCGAGTAAAAATGCAGGAGGCTAAAATCCATCCTCGGCACAGCCTCCCCATCACTGCCTTGATAAAGCTCTTTCCAAGCAGCCTCCACACTGAGTGGGGAAGATGTCATTAACAAGTTATCAGTCTCCCCCAAATCGAGGCGGCGGCAGCTGGCACCCTCCCTCCACTCCTAGGCCCTCCCAGTTCTTTAGGACTTGGAGCGAGTGGGCAGGACTCTGAAAGAGATCATCAACCCATTAACCTGACTCCACAGGCTCCGCCGTTGCCAGGCAGCTCCTAGACGGGCCACATGTGGAGCAGCAGAAACAGGCCTGAAGAAGCGGTGAGGCCCGGTTCCACCCAGATCCTGGGGGAGGCAGGCACTGCCTGGCCGGGGAGGGCGTGTGGTTGTCGGGGGACAAGTCCCCTGCCCAGGCACAGCCCAGGTTTGTTCCGGGGAAAGCTCTCTTCTGCACGCGCCTGCGGGCACTCCCTCCCAGCGCCTGCACCACCAGAGCCGTGCTCAGCCAGGTGCACTGGAGAAAGTGAGACCTTTTCACAAAAGAGGCTCGTGGGGCAGGGTCCCACTGACATCAAACTGCACGGTGGCAGGTTGCATGCCAGCAGCAGGCCACTCAGCCCCCTCGGGGACTCTGCCCATGCTCTACTATCAAGTGACATGACATGGCACATGGCACCTTCAGAGGAAGACACTCGAGGAACGACATCCCAGAGGGAGTACTGAGCAGGGTATGCTTATGACACACGAGTCGCCACACTGCTCACCAGGAGGCCAGTCCCACGGTCTGCTGTCCGTCCAACCACACCTCCCTGCCCCACGCACAGCCCAGGCCCAATCCACCAACCTGGTGGACAGACGTCCACGCTGAGGAGGGAGAAGAGGACTGCCGTGCAGCCCAGCACGTCACTCAGGAGGACCGAGTCGGGATGCTGGCTGCGCAGCTCGTGGCTGGACGCAGCGGGTACTGATGTTCTGTATGAAAACTGATTCATGAACACGAACGCACGTCAGTGCGCAGACAGTGCCAACCAAATGCACACATCCCTTGGGCTAACACTTAGAAACGGACAGTTCAGGGAAGAATTCAGTCACTGAAGAGACACCTCCTGACGTGATGAATTTGGTATCAAAATGAGACAGAGAGACACACATAAAATGGCCACAACACACATTTGGTTTCTGAATCCCTGTTTGGGGCCACAGTGGCCCTGGCTGTACAGGCGGCCTCTCTGGCGTTGGCCGCGTCTGAGGCAGGAGGCACAGAGGCCCTCGGGCAGGGGACACGGCCACCACGGAGCCCCACAGGAAGGGAGAGAGGGAAGAGGGACTACTGGCTCCCTGGAAGGAGGGGCAGGAGCTCGCGACCCCGAGGTTCCCTCCTTTGAAAACACGGGTCTGGGCATGTCTGGTCGGCCTGGAGTAGAGAATGCGGGCACAGTCCGACTCCTGGTCTGATACCTGGTGTCCGGGGGAGAGGGAGGAGCTCTGACTCCACGTCACACCTTCACGAAAAGCCCTGTGGGAGGTTTCCATTTGGCATCTCGGTAGCAGCATCTTGGGTCAACAAGAGCAACGCCTTGGGAGGTGGGCGGTGCCCTGGAAGCCTGGGCACAGGTCGGGGAGGAGGGCGGCTGAGCCGGAAGTCCCAGGTGGAGGGATGCCAGGACGGAGACAGCTCGCCTCTCGCCAGTGACAAACCGTGAGTTTAAAATTCATCGATCGAAATGCGTTTTGGTGATAAAAATTCCTTAGAATGGGAGCAAAAATCACATTTCCAAGCGAACGTCAAGGCTTCCCGAGGGACAAGGGCACAACTAACATTAAATTCTGCAAACAACACCGAGCTTGGAGGTGACTGCAGCCCTGTGCAGGCTGCGCCCAGGACGGCAGGTGTGGCAGCTTCCGTGTTAGTGCTAGGGCAGTCTTCCTAGTTCATCCTTCAAGTTCGACAGGGACACCCACTGGGGCACAGCGGAAGGCCAAGGAAGGGGCAAGTCCATCCTGCTAGGGTCACACCGTGGAATCACAGCAGAGTTCAGACAGAATGACTTAAAACTCTGCAGAATTTTAAAAACCATGATCTCTTGAAAAAATAAACTGCAACAATTTTCAACGTCATGCATATCCGGGAGGGGGGAGACTGAATAATGATAGAAGATACGGCTGAAAAAATAAACACGATTCTATTCGGGTGGTGGAAGTTCATCTCCGCGATCTGAACGCCATGCCCTAGCCATCGGTCTCACTTCTCTATTTTCCGCTCCTGCCCTCACCGTCCTCCGCGGCTGCTGCTGGGAAGGGGGCAGTCTTTGGTCTTGGAATGTTGCAGGAGGCAGCACGGGCGGGCGTACAAGCTTCACTAATGGGAGTCACGGTCAGACAGAAGGCCGGAGGCCGAGCCTGGGCCCAGGGCCTGGGGAGGGGCGGCGGGCGGGGACGGTGGGTACCACTAGATGGCGCCCTCGCCGTGCAGGCTGTGGTTAGCTTTATTGTGCGTTACACAGTTCTGTTCATTGAGCAGGTTGGCCGTCTCATCTGGCAACCCGTCGTGCAGCTCCGTAAGAGTCAATTCAATTTTAGTGTTTTCACTGTCTGAAGACTGAGGCGTTTTGTCCATCCGGGATGCCATCAAGGCATTTTGGTATTGCTGTCTTGAGATCTGGGACCAGAAGATGGCACAGAAAACAAACGAAGACAATGCTTATTTTTAGGGTCTCTTGTTTCTACACCGCGTCACACATTACGTCCCCTGGAACAGGGTATCGTCCTTGAGTACAAACTGAGGCACCTTTTAACGTCCAAATGGACTCAGGTGAACAAGGCAGTTTTCACTGATAGAAGCCCAACTCCCACAGTTTGTCTCCGACTGGCAAACAGACAGGCTTTCATCAGCTAAAGCAGCCTCGTTCTCCAAAAACATCTCTATTTCAGACTAAGAACCCTTGTCTCTAGGACAGAAGATAGGAAGAGGGTTCTTCCCATCCCATCTCAGGAGGTTGGGCCGACATCAGTGACTCTTCTGAGTCTCCGAGCCTCAGCCCTTTCAGGGCCAACGAGGAAAGTCACTAGGGGAGTGAACTCATGCAAACTCTTCGACAAACGTGTACTTTTTTCCTCTCCATCTTCCACCCTCATTTCCTGAAAAGGCCACACTTGATTTGAGATTTCATCTGACAGAGCCAGTGGGATACACGTTTCTTCCCAACCTGAGTCTTGGGCACAGTAGTTGGAGGCAAGGCTTGTGGATGTGAACTGAAGGCAAGGTACCCCCAAAATGACAAAGGCAGGCTTGGCAGAAGCTATGGAAGTTGGCATCTAATTGCCAGGTCCACTCTTTCATCTCTTACCTTAACAAACTGAAGGTCGGAAAGAGCTCGCACTGAGTAGTCAGGGATGTAGACTTGAAGGAACGACGAGTTGAGCTGGTTGTTACTGCTCCCCAACGCTGGTGCGACAGCGTCAATCCGGTCGCTTCGACTGAGAGAGTCTGAGTGATTCAAGCCACACGGGCGAGGGGGTGACTTATTTTCACCTGGAAAAGGACATAAACCCCCCCCCCCGCACAACTTTTTAAGTGAGGCAGACACAGCCAACCAAGTCAGCTCTTTATTTCCCAAATGAAAAAATTAATGCATACGCCTGGTTAACTTAGCCTGGATGCTGCAGCCGTACAGCTCCCAACACAGGGTTTTCTGCAGCGCAATGCTTTCCCCTCCCAGGAAAGACTACTTTTACTTCAGCCGTTTGGTCCTATTTGTGTGAGTAGATACAAAACTCCCCGCCATCTCTAAAGCACGGTGCCTGCAGCTGCGTAGCTAAGTCAGAAACATCACTGAGAGCCAGGAAGTGTACAGAGTATGATGGAGATCAGGTCCAAGACACAGAAGCTCCTCCACACCAACCAGGGGCCAAGAGGACGCAGCGCCTCATTGTTTTGCTGGAAGCAAAGCAACGGACTCTTGCAACGTTCCTGTCGGTACCTGTTTTTAAGGGCTAAACGTGTCTCTGTCTACTCTCGCTACACCCCCCAGCCAAACCTATTATCCTTGTTTTGACCCCAACAAAATCCCCCAGGCAGGCAGCTGAAGATGTCTCAGGATTTCAGGGACACTCCAAGACACCAAATCCCTAAGAAGTCTGACCAAGTTACCTGAGTGCTGTGAGATTCTTCAAGGAGGTTTTGATAGTACTACTCTTCCATCCAAACAAAGTGAAGGAATTTCAGGTGTCTCTAATATTGCTCTTAAAGAGAAGTTCATTAAAAATAAAAGCCCTTGCCAAGGTTTCTTCCATGTTTTAATTTCCTACCCTTATCTACTGCACAGATACTAACTGACGAACTGCATACTGTCCGGGGACTGGAGGGGCCCAGTTCTCTATCTGATGGGGAGATAGAGATCCTCTTCACACTGGGTTCCTGACAGATACTTCCACAGAGGAGCTGGCCTTCGGCCGGGCCTACCCTTCACCTACTGGCAAGTCTGTCGTGTCCAGTCCAAACCTGCCTCCCTCTCAACGACCATCTAGCTGCACTCTGTGGAGCTCTTCCAAGAAACCGGCATGCCTCTGCTATTTGAAATAACCTTTAAAAATGTGAAGATGGTTATTCTAAGCCTCTTCTGGCCTAAGCTAAATACTTCAGCTGCTCTTCCCTCATGTTTTACCAAGCCCTCCCCCTTTCTGTCATCCTCTTAGACTCTGTGTGGTAAGTGTCCCTCTTAAAATATTAACATCCAGAGTGAAACATGAGAGACCGTCCAGGAATCTCCTAAAATTTGCATGCCACAATTCTCCCTACAGCTGTCACGTCATGAACCAGTTTTCCATCGCCCCTGAAAATTAAATTCAGAGCAGCCGTTCCCTCTGTTGCTGCCACTTCGGAGAGAACAAGGAAACTAATAGTTTAGCCAATGTCTTATATTTAGCGGAATGAAATTTTGAACAGATTACCCAACTATGCTAGTTTCTTAATCTGTAAAATGAAGACAGTAATGGTACCTCCCTCTAAGGTTTGCTGAGGATTAAAACTGAGCTAATGTACGAAGCGCTTGCGAGCCTCTGACGTCTCATAAGTCCTTGCTACACAGGCTTGTTCATATTACTTATTCTTTCCTTTTGACTTCACCCCAAACCTCTCCACCACGAGTCGATCCTCATGACTAAGGCTTTACACACTGTAATAACTTCACCCCGGGTGACAGATGGACCTGTTCTTTGAAACAAAGGACCCCACCGTGCCCCTGGGCTGCAGCCACAAACTCTGTCACCATTTTCACAGATACCTTTGAAGTGGTATTTACTTCCACATATTACAATTTATAAAAGGCTATTAAAACATGTAAAGGGCACTCTGCTTATTGATGAGACCCTGTGGGTTGCAGGTAGGTATCTGGGGCCTACAGCAGCCTTGATTCTCCTGGTACTCCCTCCTGTGAAGATCAGGGGCAATCTCTTTGGTCTTCCTCTGCCAGGAGCCCATCTGCCTGGCATCACAGCCACGGCCCGGAGACGCCGACCCCACTCTTCAGGACACTCTGCGGCTGGCTTGGCCTTTCTCTGACACAGCTCTGGACTTTGGTTCATGACTCAGATTCCATAACAGTAATAATGAAAACGAGAATCCTACAGGCCCACAAGTTTTACCTGAAACCCCTGGGGGTCAGACATGCTTTGAAGTTTGGAAAGAACACGGTCTGTGTCCCCAACGTCACACTAACTGCCAGGCCGGGTCTGGGCAGCCCCAGAGGTGTGGGATCCACACTGGGAGGAATGACAACTGAGGTCTCCCCCAACAGCACAGCATGTTCTGTGGCCAAGATTAGGTACCAAAGTTTTAATGGCAATAACTGTGAAAAAGCTTGCAATTTCGATACCTCCTCTGTCCTTCCAGAATTTTTTTCTTTCTGCTTTTTCTTGGCTTATCTTATCCATCCCATCTAGGTAGCCTTTATTTTTGCTAGTAATCTGGAAAGATACAATACAGAAACAGCCCCAGCTTCCTCCCTTGGAAGCACAAGGCACCTTTTGGAACAGGCCGGAAATCACTGGTTTAATTCAGCCTCCTTCAGTAGGCATCATGTTAGTGCAGTTCCAGGACCCCTGACGTCCTGGCCCCACAAAATAGAAATTTCTCTTCCTGGACCAGACGGACCTGGGCAGAGCTGAGAAATCGCTCTGTTCTACAAACCCAAACCAAACCAAACCCACTGCCATTGAGTCCATTCCGACTCACTGCGTCCTCCACCGGGTTTCCGAGGTGGTACGTCTTTAGAGAAGTAGATTGCCCTGCCTTCTTTCCATGGAGTGGCTGGTGGATCTGAACCACCAACCTTCTGGTTACAGTCAAATGCCTTAGGCCCAGTGCCACTAGCACCCCTTCTACGTTCTACAGAAAAGGTAAAATACAAATAGCATTTCTGTGCGCTTCACCTGAAAGGCACTCTCCTTCCACTCTGTTCCATTTTAAATGGGAAGCAGATGAAAGCAAATAGGGTGGGAACAATGAGATACAAACACACATACATACAAACGTATGTGTACAGACACAGGGAGCTCTGGTAGCATAGTGCCTAAGGCATCTGACTGCTACCCAGAAGGCTGGTGGTTCAAACCCACCAGCCACTCCTCGGAAGGAAGATGGGGCAATCTACTTCCGTAATGATGCTGCCTCGGAAACCCAAGGAGGGGTCGCTATGAGTCAGGTCCAACTCAATGGCAGTGAGCCTGCTTTTGTCTTATTTACAGATATGTATGTGTACATATGTGTATTCGTGCACATATACTTATTTATACATAAATGTATGTATGTTGCTGTTTGTGTGCCGTGAGTCGATTCCATCTCACAGTGACCCTGCAGGACGGAGAACTGTCCCGTAAGCATTCACAGGCTGTAATCCTGGAAGCAGATTGTCAGGTCGGTCTCCTGTGGAGCCACTAGGTGGGTTTGAACCATTAACCTTTTTGGTGTGCAGCTGGGCACTTAACCACTGCATCACCAGGGCTTTATTGCTTTATTCTGCCAGCTGGTTTGATTCAAACAGCTCTATGAACATCTTGCCCACACATGCATCTGAGCAAACATTCATTTCTCTCTAAGACAAGTAAGGCCTCCTTCACCTGTCAGCAGTTGAGAGTTTTGCTGAAACTGGATTGTGAAACACAATGTCAGTCAGATTTACAAACGTAAGCTGTACAGAACAAGATAAATACAGAAACACTGGACTGCCAAACAGGAAAGCCCAGCTATTTTAATTAAAGAAAGATTAAACCGTTTTCTTTTTTCTGAACAGCTGGACATATTAGGTAGGCATGCCCCAAGCCTCCCGCGGGGCGACAGTCAGCAGCTGGTTAGGAATGTGCAGGGCACTAACTTCTAGACAAAGAGGGAGATGGTGATGCAGGGCCACCTGGCTGACAGAGCAAACACACCCGTTCCCGTGGATGTTGGAGAAAGGACCAGCAAGTGAGGGATGGCGTGGGCCCCTGAGCGCGGATGGGGTACCTTTCTTGCATCAAGAAAACTCATGGTGCTTCCAGCTCTTGGCTGGATGAGCTCTGTGTCTCTGCACACCCCAAGCACCGTGACTCTGCTGAGGTCAGAGCCAGGACCGAAAACAGCCCTTTTTGCTGCCCTGAAACTTCCAGGCTAGCAATGGGGGTGGGATGGGCAGGGAACCCTGACAGTCCACTTCAGAGCTACTCTCCCGTTCCACTCTTCATCACAGTCCATGTTCCGCAATTCCCTTCCAGCCTCCCCAACCCTTCTGGCAGCTGCTATGGGCTTATGCTTTCCTGGACAGTTAGATCACTGTTAAGTCACAGAGCCCTAGGGTTTCAGAGCGCAAAGGCAAACTGAAAATGGTCTTGTCCAGATAAAGGGAGCAGCCCTGGCCGGCAGGCTTTCACGTAGCCGAGGGCGACACGATTGGGGAATTATGAAAAGAAACATGCAGAGTTACCTGGAGAACCTGCTGCTAACAATTCAGTTCTGCTGACAACAAAGGTACGAGACAGGGACAAAGGAACTGAAAAATGGAGAAAAACAGGGTGAGACCGCATCAGAGGCAAGAAAGGAGATCCGTCGTCAGGAGAGAGAAGTGGACACCTGTTCTTCCAAGGAGCATCCAATTCTAGGAGGCAAGCGCCTGTGCAACGTCGTGTAAACAAGAGAGAGACACACACACAGCTTCCCGGGAAGATGAACAGGGAGCCGGGACCAGGAGCAATCCCGTTCCTATTTCTCCCCTAACCTACAAGTCTCTTAAGCCATTAATATGGAATTGGGTTTTGTAGTAGTTAAGGTTGTGTGTCATCGTGGCTGGGCCTGGTTGAGTGGCTGGGCAGCTGGATGTAGTTACTCCCCACGGTGAGATTGGTAATTAACTCCATGGTGGAATGTATTGGAGCAGCTGAGTAGCTGCTTTAGGGATGTGATCTGCTTCCCATATATAAGCAGCAGCTTTGGGAATGGTCTCTAGTTTATGGCACCTTGGACCCTGCGTGTAGCCGTGTCGTTGTTCAGGAGCCTGCCATGCTCTGCCGACCTTGGGACTTACCATGGACTTGAATTAATGGCCTGCCGTGTGGTTTGGTAACATTGGGACTGTGCCTTTTTACTTGTCAACCTTGGGTTTGTCAGGCTCAGCAGCCAGTAGCTGTCTGTGTGAAGAAAAGCCTCCAGCTCCAGTGGGCCAGGAACAGGAGGCAGAGCTGAAGCCCAAGGCTGAGGGGCCTTCACCCAGCCCCTAGAGCCTGGCACTTGGAACTTGGACTTCTAGCCTCCCGAACTGTAAGAGAATAAACTCCTGTGTGGTAAGGCATCCCATTTGTGGTATACTCCTGTCAGAGCAGCACTAGGGAACCAGGACAGGGTTATTCCTTAAAATGAGCCATTATTCTGAAGGACCTGAATCACAGATAGCCATACAAAACAGTGCTCAATCAGCCAACTGCTGAAAGAGCGTGACTTGAGCCAGCCGGCCCGCACAGCATTCCGTGCACAGACCCCTCTCTCTGGCAAGCAGTTAGTTATTCAATTCATTTTTAATTACTGTATTTTTATGCAAATACCACTCATTTTACATGGTTTTTGCAAATCACACCACCTCCTCTCACATCAGCCTCCTATGTACCCTATGAGCATGTTCTATGTGAAAATACAGTGGTCCCATTAAAATTTTAACCCTACACTTTGAATTGCTTTGGAATGCTTTGAAACTTCAAAATACAGTAAGTAAATAAAGACTGCCATCCACAGGTTTCATCCCCACTGCTTACTGAGACAGGGAAAGTCCCACCAACACTGTCCTACCTTCTGGAGTTACACTTTCTGGGCAGATGTGGAGAACTGACTATGGTAGGTTTCCTCCATATAACTAACATTAATCAATTAAAACATTCTCGAGGCTCATGTACTAATTGCATCTCGATGGATATACAAAATTCCAAATCACGTACATACACTGGGCCTTGTCATAAACGAGACGCTGTTAGTGGCACTTTCTCTCCCAGCATTTCCAAGCAAGGTGAGCCCCTTGCAGCCCTACAGGCTCGCCATGTGGTAGGACTCCTCTGTGGTTCCTTTCCTGACTGGGATCTGTCTTTACACGAATCTGCATTTTGCCATGAACTGGGCTAATATATAGGTTCAATAATTCGTAATCAATAAAAATGTACCACTCTCCTAGTTCTCTTTTTAAAGCCACCTTCTATTCAGGTTTTGCTAACTTGAAGGTCATCTGAGGTTGGCTGCCAGACAACAGCCACAACTGCAACACCTCACTCTGACACCAACCTTTCCCTTGATGCGTGAAAGGCGGTGAGGCCTGTATGCCAGTAAGCATTACCACACTCTATTCTAACGTCACACGAAGGCCTTTTATTGTATCTTCTGAAGAAGGAGCAAACCGAGGGTCTTCCTCAAAGTCACAAGCCATATGCGATGGAGCTGAGGCTGTAACCCAGGTCTTCTCCGGCCTGGTTAATAAATGTCCTGTCTCTCTCACTAAGTAGTGAGAACGGAAGATCACCCTCAAGTTCATACAGAAATCTCCCAGTGAGGTCACGTAGACAAGCCCGTTCCTGCCAGGGCATGGTCAGCAGTTGGCAATGGGGCACTGACAAGTCCTGTGCCACGGCCCTGGGAAGAGGCATGTGGGGCAGAGGATGTTGAGGGAGATAGGAGCATTCTTGACACGTCTCTGGTTTTCTAACTATGATATCCTTGGGTGACTGTTGTGTGAGGCAGTAGATGAAGACTAATGTCACAAAATGGACTTGTTTGGTGTATCCCCTCTCCCTTTGAGACTGAGTTTCAGAAGTGACAGCATTTATGGGAGGATGGCCTATTTGTATGCTTGGGATTTGTAAAGACATTTCCTAGCATGGGATTGTAATTTGATGTTTTGGCCACAAGGTGGCACTCCAGCACCTCTGTATACCTGCCTGGCTTGCTTCAGCTTTGGAAAGGAAGCAAATACACACAGTAAAGCAAGCAGAGAGGGGCTGTTCGCCTTCCATTGTCAGAAGTGAGAAAACAGCGCCTCAGGGACCTGGGTTCCTTCCAGGACAGACACTGTTTGGTAGCATCTTGAAATCTTGTGCTCAGAAAACTTAGTTCAAATGCTCCATTGTGACAGACCCACTCTGAGCTGGGTGATTCAGCTGGCCAGCTCCCTAGATAAAAAAAATCTGGCTGCGGGCAATGAATAGATGGTAACAAACTCATTCATCCTGGGGGATATGCAAATTTAAGCCTCTAGAAAATCTACCATTTAGGAGACTCAACATGACCAAGTGTGGAATGTAGTGCGATTGGAACTCTCGTACACAGTACAGGTGGGAGAAGCAGCTGGTACAACCACTCTGGAAAAGTGCTGGGCAGTAGCTACCACAGCTGAAGATACACATACCTGATGACCCGGCAACTTCAGCCCAAGGTGTCTGCCCAGTAAAATGCCCACACACATTCACAAAAATACACATACAAGGATGTTCATACCACTCCTAACAACCCCAAACAGGAAACTACCCAAATACCATCAACAAGGAAACAGATGAATGGTGTGTGGCATATTCACACAATGGAATCCTATAGAGCAATGAGAGGAGATGAATTACAGTCACACACACAATACAGATGGATGCGGCAAGCACAGCGTTCTGTGAAGGCAGCCAGACTCAACAGAATACACACTGTGTGATTCCACTTCCTCAACGCTCCAAAAAAGGAAGTCAGAAGAGTGGTGACTTGGGGGTGGGGGTGGCTGAAAGGGAGTGTGAGAGGTACGGATGCTAGGAGGCTGGTAACGTCGCGTCCCCCGATCTGGGAGCTGGTTAATGGAGGTGTGTTCAGTTTGTGAAAATTCATGGAGAAGTGTGTACTTCTGATTTGTGTAGAATGTTTTGTATATATGTTATACTTCAACTAAAAGTTAAACAAAATAACTAAGGTTAACTGGCAGGTAAACAGAGAAAGATGAGGGGGTTACTCCCAGAAACAGAGCCCTGCGCCCAAAGTCTGAGAGAGGAACTCACCTGCAGAGGCCGTGAGGGCCATGACACCATAGTAGGAGAAAGCACTTGCTTCAAACTTCATACCTTCTTTCCCAGCTTCTACTTCGACTTTCCCCTGTGGAAAGGAAAAGGGGCCACTGTCAGGCCAATTACTGGATCTGCTTGTAAACTCTATACAAGATTGCGTTTTTCCTTAGATTCTTGCCTAAATTCCTTCTGCAACAATCCCAAGTAGGAAAAACCTCAAACAATGTCTACTTATTTAGACAGAGGAATGGGCTAATCACTTAAATAGTTACTGGACATGCAGAGATGACAATAAAAGTGTGACACTGAATTTCTGCAAGTCCATTTAATATCTTCCGAATAGTCTTAGTTCTTGGAATTCAAGATCCCTCCCGGTAATGAAAAGATGGGGCTCTAGCTCCACCAGGGGGACAAATCCTGAGGTGACACTGGGTGGTGGTCACCTGAGCTGCCATGTGGGAGCGAGAGGTGGGACAGAGTTAGGGTCAAGGGTCTGTGACTAGGGAACAGACAGGAGTCAATTGGTTCCCAGGGGCAGAACCCATGCTCATCTCATTGACACAGCATCTCAACCAACTGAGCAGATACCTCTCAGGCCAATCCCTTGTGATCCAGACTTCCAGTGGCCCTTCAGTGCTGTGGGACTGTCTCCCCACTGTCTCGGAAAGCACCTTGAGAAAGTCTCCTTCCTTCAGGACCAAACTTCTCTCTCCTCACCAAGGTTTCCCCTTTTCTTCTCTTTCTCTAGCTTGTCTATAACTTCTTCTCCTTCGCCCTTATCTGTTCTTTTGGGATCCACCACAATCCCCTCACAGTAGGCTGCTGAAATACCCTCCGGAGTGAGTTTCAGGTCTAGACTCCAAGCCAACGGTACGAAAGGTTCCTGCGCACATTTCCCACATCTCCAATGAGAGGGCACCTATATTAGGCAGCCTGTACAATGGGTATGTGATATTTAAGCTACCTTCTATTGACTAGGAACTGTGCTAACATGTTACAATGTTTTATTGATTCATTCACTGCTTACAACACCTCTATGAAGTGGACATAATTATCTGCCTCTTCTAAATCATGGGAGTGGGGCTCAGAAAGGTTAAGCGACCAGAGAACAAGCTCTTAGCCAATATGCTACACTACACCAACCACCCACGCAAACTCTCCTAACATTTATTTTCTATTATTTTGTTTGTTCCCTGTTAAATTATTCTAAATTCTCAATTATGTAAGACTTTTCTCAAATCACTTCTCAAAACCATCTGTTGTCTCTCGTTTAGGCTGTTCTTTTCTCAATGGTAATATTGGTGTTATCAGTCCCTAAACAATTATCTTGCTGAGTTGACGCTTTTGAGTTGTGGTGCTGGTGAAGAAGACTGGAAGTACCAGGGACTGCTAGAACAATGAACGAGTCTGTCCTGGAAGAAGTGCAGCCGGGATGCTCCTTGGAAGCAAGAATGGCCAGACTTCGTCTCACCTACTTTGGTCATGTTGTGAGAAGGGACCATTCCCTGGAGAAGGATGTCATGCTTGGTAAAGGGGAGGGTCAGCGAAAAAGGGGAGGGCCCTCAACGAGGTGGACTGACACAGTGGCTGTGATGATGGGCTCAGGTATAGCAGGGATTGTGAGGCTGGCACAGGACCGGGCAGGATTTTGTTCTCTTGTACATAGGATCGCTATGAGTCGGGCCCGACTCAGCGGCACCTAACAACAACAACGTCACACACACACACACAAATAATCACTGCTGTTGAGTCGATTTGACTCACAGCAACCCCTCCTTGGGTTTCCAAGGTGGTATCTCTATGGAAGTAGATTGCTCAATCTTCCTTCCAAGGAGTGGCTGGTGGGTATGAACTGCCAGCCTTCTGGTTAGCAGTCAGATGCCTTAGGCACTAAGCCACCACACACACACACACACACACACACATGTACATACATATATATACGTACATACATATGTACATATATATATACACACACACACACATACATATAGACACACACACACACGAAGAATTTAAAATTCCACCCACAATGTAAAAGTGGCCTGCAAACAAACAGGTGCTGAAAGCTCCTAGCATGTAGGGTCCTACAGATGAGGGTGTGAGAGACTTGGGAGAAGGCAGTCCTTCCCTCCAAGAGCTTATAATCCAGTGTGTATAAGACAGTACACGACAACCAATGACACAAGGCCACAGCTCTACATGAAGAAAAGGACAAGAGGAATCTAAGGAGTTCAGAGGGAAAAATACATACTTCCTGTTCTTATAATTTAGGACACATGTCACAGAGGAAGTAAACTCTGAGGAGCATAGGAGTGGCTGGCCCAAGAGAAGGGAACAGTGTGAAGCAAGGTCAAAGGCGGGGAACAGTGGACTGCAGGCTCTCGGGTTGGCACAGGACAGCAGGAGACTGACTGGGAAAGCCAGGTTGGTGAGCAGGCTGAAGACCACCTGCAGCTGGAGCTCCTTCAGTGACGGGCTAAGAGGTCACGAAGATAAAGTCTAGACTTGTGCTAGGGTGACAGTCATGGGATTAGAAAGAGATTGCTATAAGAGAAGCTGTGAAGGAGGAATCAACGTAACTTCAAGGGAACAGGGAGAAAGAAGCATAAAGGAGGGGTGGGGAGCCAAGCGTCAGGACAGAGGTCTGCTGGGAGTGACCGGGGGAACAGTAACCCAGGAGACGCACAAGGTGGAAAGGAGTGAGTGAGAGGTAGGGGAGGGAACAAGAGGACAAGTTCCATTTTCTAAGAACGCTGTCAAAAAGACGGAAACTAAAGAATGAAGGTCAGAAGGAAGGTCAGAACTGGAGAGGACATTCTGAGAGTGGACAGGAGAACGCGGACAAAGAGCAAAGGACCAAACTGCAGGCAGCAATCAAGAGCTGGGGAAACCAACATGGGACCAAAGAACTGGACAAAAGGAGAAGAAGCAGACAACTGTACCATCACAGAGACAAGAGAGAGGAGAGGCCAGCTGTGTCAAATACAGGAGGTCAAGGAGAGCGAGACCCCTGGGAGGGGGTCAATGGTGGCCTTCAAGAGTCAGGGTGAATGAAGGTTGAGCAGGCAGGAGAAGGTCCTGCCTTCAAGGAGGAGAATTCCTGCTTAAGAGGAGGAGAGAAATGCAGGGGTGTGGAGGGCGTGGGCAGCAGGGTCAAATGAAGGTGGCTTAGGGTTAGGGACTCTGGGGCACGAATGAAGGCAGGGAGGCAAGAAGATTAGCAGGGAGGGGGAGGAGGGAGTAACTGGGGAAGCAAAAGCCAAACATGGGCAGGAGAGAATGGACACAGGACACAGTGGGTGACCTCGGAGGAGGCAGGGTCCCTCAGGCGAGGAGGGGAAGGAGAGAGGATGGCAGGGGCATGATATTCAGAGGTGAAAATGGAAGTGCCTTACAGAATCCATCTTCTTAGTTACTTATCCACCTATTCATAGACTAATTGTTGATTCTGTATCAGAGTGTTAAAGATGTATATAAACACTATTTGAAAATGCCTATCTCCAAAGTGGTTGGCAGGACTCTCTCTCAACCTGATTTATGTTTATTTTTATTGTGATTTGGGTGAAAGTTTACAGAGCAAATTCACTTTCCATAGAGTAGCTCACATATACTGTCTCATGACATTGACTTCAATCTCCCCTCTTACTTCCTCCCCATAGTTACCTCTTCCCTGTCCTCAACCTGAACTTTTATGCAGAGAAAATCAGAAGGAAGTTTCAAACATGATAGAGCCTCATAAACTGATTTCCATCTTCATGGATCTTGGGTTAATCTGACAGTTTGTTTTGCAAGTTATGGGCCTATTGTGGTCTGTGCCCCTGAAATTGGGTGTCAGTTCACAACTGTTTTGTGATAAACTGTCAGAACCAGCAGGGCATCAGTGACCACCACAAGACCCTGTTCTCTTTCTCTCTTGAAAATGAGGTACTGTGGAGCAGTATTTCACAGTCTTTACTTCTTTCACGCTTACAATCTCTGCCTAATAAACACAAAGACAGCTGTTCCCAAACACTGCTGTGCACAGGAGTCGTCTGAGGATTTATTTAAAAAAAACCAACAACAACAACAAAAAAAAAACCCTGATGCTGAGGGTGGGCAGCTGGGATACAGAACAGAGCTTCAAGCTCCAAATTCTCATGGACTCCACGCTACCTGTTTGGAGCCATGGGGCTGGATGAACCCCTCAAACTACTGCCCCGAGATAACCTTTAAAACCTAACCCAAAAATAATCCCTGAAGTCTTCTTAAAAGTAAACAATTTGTTGTAGATGAGCTTAACTAATGAAAAAAGGTCTGCCTTAAGCATCCTGCTCTTTTAAGAACTATCTGTATGGGATCAAATTGACAACAGCAACTCAAAAGATCCCATAGGAACCTTAGAGGGCAGTGAGTTACATTAACGGGGCAGAACAACTCAGAAAAGGAGGGTTAGGATGGTGGTGTAACTCAAAGACTGTCATCACTGTCACCAGTGGTTCCTGTAGAAACTGCTGAATCAGTGTGTGCTTTGCTGTGTTCATTCTCAACAACAGTAACAATGAAACAAACAGGGTAAGGATGCCTGGCCCCCATCCCCAGACATCGTGATGGAACTAGGCAGGGGAGCCACCCTGCACCAGGACTTCTAAGAGCTCTCCAGGTGATTCGAGTGTGCAGTCAAGGCTGGGGCCCACTGCTCTAGGGCTGTACCAGCAACAGTGGCGCCACAGCTTTGCAACCTCTGAATGGCTTGGCCTCTCAAGAGATTCCCCCGAAGTCACCGCAGCGATGAGTCTGCTAATTCAATATAGAAGACAGGTGTGCAAGAACCTAAGCTCTCTGCACAGATCTGAGCCCTTGTCAGCTGACCTTCCTTCAAGACAAGACCCCAGGCAGGGGAGGATCGGCTCTCCCCCTCCAGGACTCCATCTTCTGGGTCTATGAGGCTGTCAGGTAGCCTAACTCTTCGCAGAGCTTCTAGACTAAGGCAGACTAGGTAGAAAGGGCTGGTGATCTGCAAGCCCTGTGGATCACAACATTGTGACCTGCAGGTGATCGTGGGGACGGCCCAGGACCAGGCGGTGTTCGGTTCTGCTGTGCATGGGG